AAACAAATTAGTAAACTTAAGTAAGGTAAGGGGGTACGGTACGTTTAAGTTTTAGTTTCTACACTGCTTGTTATTAGTAGTAGTATTAATAATATATATATATATATATATATATATATATATATATATATACAGAGAAAGAAAATTGTGATGGGGATATTTGCTCTTAAAAATACTGTATATGTACCTTAATTATTGCATTTGAATATCATTTTAAAGCATATCTGTTCATTTTTCAAGGTTCAAAATTTATAAATGTTCATAAGAAGGCCACAGTTAACCAAGTTAAACATGTTCCTAACTTAAGTACTTGTGTATCATCATAAGTCCACAAATGTTTAATTTTAATCAAAATTGTATGTATAGTTCTGACTTGGAATAAACCAAAGTTTCTAAGATTACTAGAGGTAACATCATGGAATGGCAAGATGAGAACAATTATTAAACAGATTGGTGACTAGTCTACAAATGCCAGCTCAGCATAAAAAACCACTTCTGTGGAAAGATTTTTAATACAAGTGAATATGTACTTACTGTTGTCTTTTATTGTACTGTGTATTTTATCAAATGGACTTAGGTTGGTGGGAGTGTAACCTATCATTTAGGTGGACCATTTGCAACATATACATCAAGAGGTGAGATACAGAATGGTACAAAAAATGCCGTCTTATGTTTACAATTTTACTTAGATGTTTCAGTAATTAAAATTATAAGATCATCCAAATGAATATAAGTCCTTGGCCTTGTTATACTGTTTAGGTTAACAAAATTGTTAAGTAAAAGTATTTTGGCATTTGAAGAATGTGTCTTGTGATTTCTTTCGTAACACAGTCAACTGTTTCATAAAAAAGGTAAACAGAAAAAACAGACTTTGATTCACGTTACAAAATTAACCAGGTGTTTTCTTTTTCACTAATTGTTTTACACGTTTTATTTTTCTTGTATAAAATGTGCAATGAATAGCTTTTGGTACAGTATTGTGTGTTGGGTTGTTTCTAGAAAACAACATTTAAAACTATTAATATATACATTTTAATTGTTAAGAGATTGTGGGATTCATTGATTCTTTCCACCCTTATGAATATAATTGCTTTTATATGCTGCAAATAATTTGTGAATAGTTTCTATCTAACATAAAGCCTGTAATCTAAATTTCAGTTATATTTGCAAAGAGAATTTTATTGTTCAGATTTTATTATAAAAGAACACCAAATGTTACATTATACATATATATATATATACACTACTTACTATTTTTTTAACCTTATACAGATTATATTTTTGTAAGTTGATAAAATCCATGTAGACATTTAAAAATAATAATTTGTATAAAACAGTTTTAATTTTAGTTATTGTTTTATATCATTTCTAAATACCTACAAAATTTGCAGGAATTTAGTGTTTTTTTTTTTAATGAAATATGTACATTTGAAACAGTTTGTGGATATAACAGGAGGATATTAAGATTTAAGTACAAGGTATGTATGTTTGTTTGTTCCTGGTTGATAGTAGAAGTGGTTACAAGTATTATTTGATAGATTGTTTAGGCAGAGTATTCTGAAATGAACAGTAGCTGCTTGTTGTAAAAAAGCACCAGTGTAGAGTACTACATTTTGAAAGACTTTTATCTGAAAAGTATGAAGGAAAACTTGCAAGATGCTGTTCTCTACATTTGTTTTTTTTTTCAGTCCTTTCCAGTGTTAGCTTATGTTTTTATTGTTTGTCCAAAGAGTTTGAATGTTATCAGACCTAATAATAGTGAAAAAACATGCACACATACACATAGAATATCTTAAAATGTTAATATAACAAAAATAATAACATAGTCTGTTGAAACTGTAGCTTTCATAAGTATCAGCTCTTACAAGCTCCAGCTACTCTGATGTTGGAGAATGTCAGCTGGTATTTTAATGTTTAGGGTGTACTTCACTAGATAAAATTACAGCAGACAGATCAAACTTTCAGAGCTTACTTATATCTGTATTATATCCCATTATCAAAACTTAGAATTACGATGAGTATTGTTGAATATATATGTACCAAGTTTCACTCATATTTTCTCATGATGATTGTATCTTGTTCTATTATAACATGACTACCTCCTTTATAACGATCTGTCACAGAAAGACATGAAATATTGGCAATTGGAATAAGGTTGGATACTCCTATAAATATTTCACTCTCGACAACAAGATAAAAAGATATCAACAACGTGTAGACACTGTCCACCATTAGTGTCATGTTATAAGATAATTTATAAGAGTCTTCTATCTGGTTCCATTTCACACCATGTAATCTGACTGGAAAGGAGGATACACTCTTTCACATGTTGGTTGAAGCAAACGAACAACATCCATACGGCCTAAAGTCACCAAGGCTTGAATAAGGGCTTCGACAGTAGCACCTTCAAAGTAGCCCCAATCTAACAATAGTTGGTGGGCTGGCCCATATTTAACTTTTCCTAAGTGTTCAAATGCAGAAATGTTGGAATTGGAGTAACCTGAAAGATATTGTTTTTGATTACAACAGTTAATTGGGACAAATGTCGCTCGTCTATTAGCATGCAGTTATTAAATGACAGATTATTTATTACTTGTAAAATAACGAGTCTTCATAAAACAGTTATTTTAGAAATATTTCAATGATTTGTAATTCGAAGTTGTTCATATAAAACATCGAGATTTTTCAAATGTATATATCATAAGCTTTTATTTGAAAATTAGTATATTTGAGTATTTTTACATGAAAATGGAAAGTAATTTGTTCTGGACAAATTGTGGTTTTAAGAAATAATAAATGCAAACAAATTAGTCATACAAATGGCACTCTCAGTTATTTTTAACATAAGAAAGCTGAAAAATTATGACAACTAAAGTTATTTGATAGTAACTTGCCTAACTGACGAGCTAAACCTCTCCAGTCTTGACCATCCTGTCTTTTAGTATTTAATGCTGCTTCCAGGTCCCGTTGCTTCGTTAAAGGAAGTTCTTTAAGCTTCATTTGCATTATTCCTATTGAAATTGAAGTGATGAACATGTTCAGTTACATAAATTTGTTTCTTTTAATTGATTTGTTTTTTTTTTGCAATTCTCATTTCTTACATCACTGTATTTGTATGCCTAATAAATTAGAATTGGGCAATTAGTGGAACTTGCTAATCGAGGACATTATTACATTCAACTAATCAAGTTCTCCAATGTGAAGTTAAAAACCTAATATTCTCGCAGGATGGCAAAAAAAGGAGAAAAAAAACACTAAAACTCGGGTTTCCATACCCGCAGTAGACAGAGCTTGTGTACTGTTCTGCTAAACAACAAAGGAAATATAATGAAACTATGTTCATGATAGGGATGGCTCAGAAACTTAAAAAAAATTATAATAGAACATACGGGTAAAAACCATCTTAGAAAGCAGACTTGTTCTTGAAACAACACTCAAAATAATCTATCTCAATGGCTAAGGCTGCTAAAATATTACAATCCCAACAGTTCATTTTCCGATTTACAGACAAAATTCAAAATCCGTCAATTTGTTCTTCATATTATTATTTCACAAGTCTACAGAAACAACAGTTATGGATATTTTATTCAAACCTACTAGGACTATTTTTATGTTCATTCTTGAAAGAGGAGGAAAAATTTTGTCAGTTTTTTCATCGCTACTGGCCAAGTTTCTCTTTGAAGCCTACATCTAAAATAGCTAGGTATACTGCGCCAAAATCTATACACAGCTGCTAAACAAACTTCTGTGAAGGCTATAAGGCTATTTTAAAGTTGATTCTTAATAGTATAGATTTCCACCATCTAAAATTTAAGAAGTTCTTCGCTACCATCATAAGCTCTTCGAAGTCATTCAAGCATCACAGAAATGTAGAAGCCATTTTAAGCGCCGTTATACTAGTCGGACAATGCACCGTTTTATTACAGTAAACAATGCGTATATTTATAACGGTGTCTTCAGCCTTATTGTTATTGATTATAGTTTTTAAAGCCGTTTAAAAAAAACGGCTTCGAATATTTTACTGAAACCTGAGCAATACTAATGAATGCAGTATTGAGTATGGCATAGGGCAGCTTTAAAATTAATTCAAGTTCCTTCGTTGTTTCGCCCTCAAGAATTTCTCCAAGTCCTTCACTTTCCGCTATTGGAAAAATCCAGTGTTTTACTAATGCGCATTAATTGGAAAATAATTTTTGCAACTTCTAGCGCATTAATTGGAAACTGCCATGTTGGGGATTCATCATTTTTTCTCGAATTCGCTGTTGTACTTTGTCTCTATGTTGTTTTGTGCCAATATTTCAGTGAGTTTTCTAACAGTAGACTACTACCATAGTAGATTTCTCTACTCTTGTGAGTGGTGATATATTCTACTGATTTTCGTACTTCACTGAAATTGTGACTGCGTATTGTACTGTTATTTTATTATTATTATTAATGTTTCCCAAGCCTACAGCAAAATCGGCTGGGTATTTTGCACCAAAACCTAGACAGGTATACTATATGAAATGCTGCGAATGTCCAGGACCTTTTTAAAATGTACTCGACGCTTGTTAAACACGTGTTTACACGAAACCTTAGGTACAAAACCACCTGGCTCAGTAAAAAATGGTTGGGTTGAAAAAAGCCAATGCATCAAGTAAAGTGTTGAAGAACATGTAATATTCACACTGAATGCATATGCACTTACGTAGCTTAAAATTTATTCTCCATAAATGGATATAAAAAACTTAAGAAACAAGATAATTAAAAAAAACTTATTTAAAGGGGGGAATAGGAATCGTCAAAAAAGTACAGAACTTTGAATCAAAATACAAAGATTATGTTTTCAAGTCTACAACTAGGGACTCTAAAAAATGTATGAAATAGGCTGGAAATAGTGTCCACATTATTTTCTCAAGCTACAAATCCCTATTTTAATTCCACTAAAATTGGTAAGTAGTGTGAACATGGAGTAGCTTGAGAAATTAATGTAGACACTATTTCCAGCCTAGTTTGTTTAGTTTTTTTTTTCTAAGAGTCCCTAATTGTAGGCTTGAAAATATAATCCTTGCGTTTTGATTCAACTTTTTTTTACTATCCCTATTCCCCCTTTTATAAAATTAACAATTTTTAATTATCTTCTTTTGATCACTTGAATAGCTGGAATAATTGGAAAACCTAATTTCGATTAGTTTATTTCCATGAGTCATGACACAAATCGATTAAGCTGGCAAATTTGAATTAATTGAAAATAATAATGAAAAATCAAAATGACAGTACTTCAACTGCTAATTAGTTAGAATGATCTGAAAACTAAATGGTTATTTTTTGGCGACTGATTTAACTGTAATTTTGATTAATTGATTATTTTACGTGACGCTAATTGGTGTAACCGATGCTAATTGGTAATTGAGTTAATCACCCAATTCTGAATTATACCTATTTGTATCAAATTTATGTCTTGGATGCACAAAATACCGGGAATTTTTGAAAAGACAAAGATGACTATAAAGGTTGGCTGAAAATAACATTTATCTTAAAAACATAAGACACTAGATTTTATGTGACAACATGTTGGAACACCTAAATAAAAAATGTTTTTGATTTAGATAGGAAATCTAAAATACAGATACAGTGTGTTCTCATCAACTTATGTGCCAGTTACTGATCCAACACTTCGTGAACTTTACAATTTAAGAGCCTATCTGATCACTAGGTTTGACATAGTTAAACTATCTGAACAATGAGATGATAACATACCTGATATTTATGTTCTGGCAAGTAAGGAAACTTATGGTTTTAGATTTGTTTGTTTTTTAAATGAACGAATCTACTTCGTTTTATGGTTCTTTATAGTGAGACAACATACCTATTTATTGGATTCAGTATAGTGAGTGAACCTACATAATATTTAAGTTTTGCACATTGAAATAACTTGCCTACTCTGTGGATTCACTTGAATGAAAGAATATACCTAGTCCTTGGGTTCTAAGTAGTGAAAACACCAATCTAGATTTAGTGCATTGAATAAGCCTGTTAGTCTTTGAATTTGGAGTAACTAGATAACCTATGTTGTCTTTGAGTTCAGTGTAAAGAGAAAACCTAATTGGTCTTTGGGTTTAGTATAACCAGTGAATCTAACTAATATTTAGTTAAAAGAAAATAAATTATTTCCCGTTTTGAGAAAAAACTCTTTGCCTTCATTGTTCGGTCCAGTGATAAAACTTTTATGCACTTAATTTAGTTTGGAGATTGCTATCTTGCAATCCTGGTTTCTTCCCATAAGAGGAACTTTAAAGACCTTAATACTGACACCACACATAAAAGTCTGGATGAATGTTATTTGTGCTTATTGAAACATACCTGTATGAGAAAGAAACTTGACATTGATTAATTTCATGGACTGGTCAGACTCGGCCAAAAGCATTCTTTTGCTGCTCTCTGATGTCCCCTCAGGATCGGGTCCAGAGCCTACTTCGTGACAGTGGGTGGTCTTGGTATGATGACGTTTCTGAAGCCTCCATCTAAGCATCAGAAACACCAAAACGCCCAGAAGTACTGCTACCAGTATGGTACAGTAGACAGGTATCACATTGCGTTGGGTATAGTTCACCACTTCATTGGGCATTTGTTCAGGTTCAGCTGTTGGCAGATGACTTCTTTGATAAAGGTCTTTATCTGCCGTTGTAAAATGAATAAATATTTAAAAGACCAGCCTCTCAGCTTGATTATACAGCATGCTGTCATGTTTTTAAAACATTCCGATGGTTTTTGTACAAAGACAATAATTACATGTAAACTTTAACATTCTTGGAGAACGTTTAATCCTTACTAATGAAATATTTCCCTTCAAATGAACATGCAAAACAAGTCAATCGCTTATTCTTTCAGTATAAAGCATTAAAATGTTTAAAAAAATCACGACTTTTATAAAACTGTATATCTAATAGTATTTATAAGAACTGTAACTGATTTAATGTGAGCTTATTAATTTTGATTTTAATCCTCAAATTACTAGCTGGTTTTTAAACTGTTCGCTACTGATGAGACATCATTTTAAGTGATTTTACATTTATTACTGCTATCTTACGACGGGCCCGGCATGACCAGGTGGTTAGGGAGCTCGACTCGCAATCTGCGGGTCGCGGGTTCTAATCCACGTCCCACCAAACATACTCGCTCTTTCAGCTGTAGGGGTGTTATAATGTGACGGTCAATCTCACTTTTCGTTGGTAAAAGAGTTGGCGGTGGGTGCTAAATTAGGGACGGCTAGCGCAGATAGCCCTAGTGTAGCTTTGCGCGAAATTCAAAAAACAAATAAACAAGCTTATAACGAGTGCAAGAGTTTGTTTTTAAGCGCGGAGCTCCACAGTGAACTTATCTACACTGTAGGAATCGGCCCTCAAGTTCCAAATTAGCCACTGATCTGCCACCCGGTAGCTGGGCAGTAAGGCAGCAGGCTTATGATGCTAAAAATCGGATTTCGATATCTGTGGTGGGCGGAGCATAGATAGACTATTGTTTAGCTTTGCACTTAACACCAAACAAACCACCATTAATCTATTGTGGGGCAATGTTTTGAGAAAAAAACTTTTTACCTTCATTGTTCGGTCCAGTGATAAAACTTTTGTGCACTTAATTTAGTCTCGAGATTGCTATCTTGCAATCCTGGTTTCTTCCCATAAGAGAAATTTTAAAGAACTTAATACTGATTATGGGTCCAGGTTCCAAAGCGGAGCGTCAGACTTTGGTTCAGTTTTGCAACATTTGCGAACACTGCGATTGTATCGCTTTGATTCGCCCGACAGCTAATATCGTTGATAACTAAAAAGTATGTGAGTCATGTCGATAAAAACAGATCAACCCAGTAATTCTTCTTTTATTCCTTTTGTTATCTCGATGCTTACTTTTTTTTACGTATTAAATCAGTACTTCTCAAGTTAAAGAATTGTTGCTAAGTAAACGAACTCTGCTTTTATAACGGATGGCTATCACCTAACCGATTAGGCTAATAATTAGCCTAACAGACAGAGCCCAAATAATTTCTGGTTTCATTAGTGAGTGAACGTACAAGGTCTTTTGGGTTCAGTGTATTTATTAAGATAATCCACTCCCATCTTGGGTTCTGAGAAGTGGAAATGCATTAAAGGTTTGGGTTCTACGTAGGCCTATTTTAAAATTAAAAATGTATTATGTGATATATATATAAAGGTTAAGTGATAATTTTGTTTTAAAAAATCCTTTTTTATAGCATGTTATTACAAACAAATCAATATTCATTTACGAAATACACACGGTAATATTTTCTGCTGTATTTAATTATTTCCTATGTATGTTATCAACAGAAGATTTCTGTTGTTTATTAGGAAAACATGTTATTTGCTTGACAAGCAGGATATAAAAGTCACAATTTAGAAGTCCCCAGATGTTATTTGCTTTACAGACAACATATAAAAGTCACAATTTAGAAGTCCCCCGGTGGGATAGCGGTAAGTCTTTGGACTTGCGACACTTAAATCAGGGGTTCGATCCCCGTTAGTGGTCACAGCAGATAGCCCGATGAGGCTTTGATATAAGAAAACACACACAATTTAGAAATTGCATACAACCTAGACTCGCTGATTACAGTTAAAATAGGCAGACACAAACTTGTGAGCTGGAAATAAAGAGTAAATGACATGATATGGTTTGAAAGAGTCAAAATTTACGAATCGCAACAACCACTAGAAGTATTGATAAAACAGTTTGTTTTAAGATAAGAACAAGGTGCGCCATTTTTGTAGATTACTCCATTTACGTGGCTGCTGTGATAATCAGGAGCATAACACGCTCTAGTATAATTTCCACAGGTTATTGTCACGCATTGCTAAAGTTATTGCAACTCGCATTGAAAGGAAACGCTGTAACAATATTTTCTTTCAAATTTATTTTTTTCGTGACTGTACGGCTATTATCGTTCGAAACAGTCTAGCCTTCGGGGCTCTGCGTGCCATTAAGGCTTAGCTATAGCAACGTTGATGATGATGACATAAAAAATTAATAAGCATCTATATATATTCCCCATGTGAACTCTATAATAAGGGAACAAGTATTATCTTGCTGGAATGGAGGGACAAGGTTTTGTATTGTCGGAAAATAAATCAAACCAAAGACATACCTAGCCTGAAGCGCCAGGTTCCAAAGCGGAGCGTCAGACTTTGGTTCAGTTTGCAACATTTGCGAACACTGCGATTGTATCGCTTTGATTCGCCCGACAGCTAATGTCGTTGATAACTAAAAAGTATGTGAGTCATGTCGATAAAAACAGATCAACCCAGTAATTCTTTTTTTATTCCTTTTGTTGTCTCGATGCTTTACTCTTTTTTTTTACGTATTAATTGCACTTTGAAGAACAGGCTTCCTCGATTATAAAGCATGAGAGTTCCTCTCAAAATAATACTGGAAAACGTTAATTAACTAACATAGTGTATTCTCTGACTAGTCATTGCACATGTTAACGATAACTGTGGTTTGGTATGTATTTTTGTTATTATTTTCATTACATAATTTACACTTTAAGAAAAATCGTATGGATTTTGCTAATATTAAAAAAAATCATTCCTAAGAACAAAGCTATGATATATGCTAACATTTTAAGTTGAGACCTAAGTTTTAAACTGACTGTGTAAATATTTAATTAACAGAAGAAAAACGTGCATAAAAGTTAAAAATAGAAATGTTAAAGCGATGTACCCAGTTTCTCTAAACAATGTTAGCTGTAGAAAAAAAGTTCAACTGGTGCTCTGCCAGTCAAGTTTAAAATCACTCTGGAGTGGCATGACTTGTTCTTGGCGGTAATACTAGTGCCAGAGTATGGTATCTGCGAAATGCGTCATGCTCGTCAAGAAGAGAATAATACAATTATCCTATCTTAAAGTCTGCGCATGTGCTAATCATTATAGATATTAGTATATAATAATAACTTTGACCTGGGTAAGCTACGTACTCAAAGCGAAACTAAATATCAACCTGGTCATCAATATAGCTGATTGAATATACTTTTCTTACATTTATTTTTATAAAGATTAGAATGCATTGTTTAACCTGTTGAGTACCCTGGCTACTAACGATATTTTCGGCCGTAATCCCAATATCTTACTACGAGTGATAAATGCAAATTTTAAGTTAACACTGCCAAACAATATTTATAGTAATAGTGTAATAATAAACAATAAATCTAAATAATAAAAAGTAATTACATTCCATATACCTTGAATCGTCGTTGTAGACGTATATTTCTTTCGAAATTATAATCCTGCTCTCCGTAGCACGTCATTTATTTACCAAATGAAACTCATTGATCCCCCACTCCTTGTACATAACATTAGATGTTATTAATATCTATGACAATTCAAGATATATAATTCAGTTTAAAGTGTGTCGAATCAATAGCATCAACGTTTCCACGATTCAAACAATGTTCGTGAAGATACAAAACAGTAAAAATAATTAATGTTTATTTGAAGTTAAGCACAAAGCTACACAATGAGCTAACTGTGCTGTGCCCACCACGGGTATCGAAACCTGGTTTCTAGCGTTATAAGTCCGCAGACATACCGCTGTGCCACTGGGGGGGGGGGGGGTAAAATAATTAATATAACAATGTTCAATGTAATAGGAACTAGATACACTTAATATGTAGTTTGTGTAAAAAACGTTTACTACCAATTCTCTTCAACAAATATCCAGAAAGTTAATAAATATTATTCAATCTTCTGTAAAACCGAAAATGAAACACGATAGGCCTTTAATTGAGCAGCCTGAAGTTCTATAAATAAAATTCATTTTAAAGGAAAGACACAAGGTGGTAATGTTGTAAAGAAAGTAATTATAAAAACTAATCTAACTAAACTAATAATGAAATGTCAAACTATTTGCAGAACTGTTCTATGGGTAATATTAACGTAAACTAGCGATAAGTAAAACCAATGGTGGTAAATACACTAAAGCTGTTTACTATTTCCCTAAATCATATCCCAAGGAATCAGAGTGAAGACGTGAAAGTTTTTGATACAAAACTGTAAACCCACAAATAATCTATAGCAAGAATAGTTTTAAGTTTCCCATATATATACATAGGAGAATATTTATTAAATATTAATATCTTCAAAGACATTATTAATTCCGTTAAATATGGGGTCGCTAGCCCACAAACCAAACTGCAACAAGAAAAAGGGCAGAGCGTGGTCAATCAGTTAACTAGTCTTGCTATGAATCAAAGGGTTCGTGTTTTGAACGCGCTCTGCACTTTCAACTGTGAGTGCGTTATAAAAGTGAGATTCAGTTCAGTTCAAAAATAACTGAACATAGCCCTTGTGACGGTAGGTGATGCTGGCTAGCTTCCTTCTGGTAAGTCTTCAAAGTGAGAGTCGACTATATCCTAGCCGTTTACTGCATGCTTTCGAAGAGTGATCACGTTTTCTTTTTCTAATGAACATTTGGGTCTACATTTTTTTATAATCACTCAAAAAATATTCTGAACTTTTACTTATGTTTAAAAATTAAGCATAAATACCTGTATGCACGTAGAACTTTAATAAACAACGAAATCAAACTTGGAAGCCGGGAGATTAAAATAAAATGGGAAATGAAGGAGCAATTTCTAAGTAATTTCATAATGATGTTTGCCCCAATAAAAT